ACTTGGATCGTTCTTCTCCTGGGCTCTTAGGTAAGTTTCAAATTGAGTTAAATGGTAGCTGGTCCATTCTGGCTTGCTGCAAATATCCTTAATGCAGATGGCCCCACTGTAAACTATGATGCAGATGACTTGCTGCTTCTTTGCAGAATAAATTAGTTTTTAGGTTTTTTTGTTATCATTGATGACTTTAACTTCTAGGAAGGAGACTTCAGTATTGATATTCATTGTAAATTTGTCTTTAGCGAGTGTTGGTTCACGATTATTAGAAAATTCAGGAATTCTTCTCGTGTAGTCGAAGAGATGGTCATTATATCATTCGATTAATTGAAAGTGTGCATCTGGTCTATTAGGTAAATGATTCCAATATTTTTTTAACCAATATGGCGAAATGGTTTTATTTTGTACTTAGTTTGTAAAAATTAATCATTATTCACCAATAATCAATTGTACTGTTTACTTTTTAACTGTGATCCAGAAATTAAACACTTACAAATTGGACACAAGTACAAATTAGATGGTTTTCGTCCCGTAAAAAAAATATTTTCTGTCGTACTTGTAAGTCCCGTAATTCGTTATGGTTCCGTAAATATAGCCACTTTGAATCAAATATTCACAAGGTAGTCTACACTATTTTAAAATCATCCATCTCTAAGTCTTTCCATTATGCAATAACAATCGCTACCTTTCAAGTTTATTCTGATGAAACATATTAGTAAATCCAGCCATAAAGTCACTTCAAATCTCTTGAGTTGTTAGCTTTAACGGGAAGAAATCTAGCTATAAAGTCAATTGAAATCTCTTGAGTTGTTAGCTTTAACAGGAAGAAATCTAGCTTAGTCAATTGAAATCTCTTAAGTTTTTAGCTTTAACAGGAAGAAATCTAGCTATAAAGTCAATTGAAATCTCTTGAGTTGTTGACTTCAACAGGAAGAAATCTAGCTATAAAGTTACTTGAAATCTCTTGAGTTTTTAGCTTTAACAGCAAGACATCCAGCTATAAAGTCACTTGAAATCTCTTGAGTTATTAGCTTGTAAGCATGAGTTTCATCCTTTACATCACTACTAGACGACCAATACTGAACCCGAATAAAGTAAATAATCAATGGATAATAATCATCAGTTTCATCCTTTGCATCACTACTAGGGGATCAATACTGACCATCAATAAAGTAAATAATAAATATTAGCGACATCCTTAACATCACTACTAGACGATGTATGCTGAACCTGAATAAAATAACTCGTCGTGGGCGCCCAACCAATGTCACTCGACTTTATGGGGTGTCCATACTGATATGGGAACGTTGGTCGTTGGCTTCGTATTGCGTCGAATGGAAAGGGCGCCCCTCTGGGATAAGGTACCCCACAGATCATGCCGTTTTGGGCGGCTCATATATAACGACATGTTTGGCGTCCCACCAATCTCGTCGTGGGCGCCCAACCAATGTCACTCGACTTTATGGGGCGCCCATACTGACATGGGAACTTTGGTCGGTTGGGGCGCCGATTTTTTCCAGGCGGAAATCTGCCTCGGTATGCCGAATTTAAAACGAACCTTTCCACGAGCAATTTAGCAACCGTGATGGCTTCTATATTTTTGATGCGGAAAGCATGGGCAAACTTAGCCACACACTACCAAGATGTACCGATGTCCATCAGAGGTTGGGGGATCTATTATACAAACAATGTCCACACAGTCACCCGTTCGAAGGGTGCACCCGCCCTGTAAGAGGGAACTGGGGCTTTCTTCTTATTAAGTTTCAGGGCAGCAAACTTAGAGCAGGTATATATGTATTCCTGTAAGCCAGCCTTTAAACTGGTCCAGTAATAGCCTTGCTTTATTTTCTCCACTGTCTTATGAATACCAGTCGGAAGGTCATGCGACATGTGGAGGCACTTCTCCTCCGTGAGTTCAGGTACAACCACTCGTTTCACGACATGATTCCCATCAACTCTCTTCACATACAAGAGAATTCCACTGGGTCATCAATTTCTTAAGTACAGGACTTTGAGGAGAAATTACATTCCACTTTGGTTTCTCCTTCCTTTTTACCCATTGAATAATGAGGCAGATGTCCGAGTACTTATGTTGCATTTCACTTAATTGAGTAGTATCTACACTAATCAAACCGATCACCTTCTGACTTTCACTAACACAAGGTGCACAAGATAATGAATCAGCATTATGATGCACTCTCCCAGGACATTTTTCGATGTCAAAATCATAAGATGAAAGCTGTTTTATCCATCGTGCGATGGATTCAGTGACCAAAGCAATGCTCCGTCCGAATTAAAAATTTATTTCTGTACAGGTAAGCCTTGAAATAGTTCACGAAATATACAACCGCTAAAAGTTCCTTCCTGGTAACACTATAATTTCGTTCTTCCGTTGTCAATGTACGACTATCGTAAGTCACCACAAGGTCTTTACGTTCTTCCTTTGTCAATGCACGACTATCGTAAGTCACCACAAGGTCTTTACCATCATGAAGCAGCGACACGACAGCACCTATCACACATCCACTCGCGTCCATGTCGATTGAGAACCACTTTGAGAGATCTGGAAAAGCTAGGATGGGCGTTTCCGTTAGCTTCACGTCCACCTGCCCACAGGAACCCCCCCCCCCTCCTTTCTCTGTCAATATATTCCGAAGTTTAGCTAATTCCTAATTCAGATCCAACCCTCGTGGGTTTTCTCCGGGTCCTCCGGTTTCCTCCCACTGCTAAAGACCCCTACGCGCAAGCGAATTATTGAAATAAAATTAAACCATATGTTAGTCCCGAAATGACCTAGTTTGTGTCGAGTGGACGTTAAACCCCATTTCTCTCTCCCCTAATTCAGAAAATGCTTCGATGAACTGGTGATAATAGCTGCACAAGCCCATACAATTTCTAATCTGGTCAGATTAGTCGGGATCTTACAATTTCTCACAGGGTTTATTTTGTCAGGATTCGTAGATATTCCTTGTGACGAAACAATATGAACAAAAAAAAAACAATTCACTTCCTCCTTCGACAGGTTGGATTTAAATGCCTTCCATCTAAGCCCTGCACATCTCAACCTGTCCAACACACTTGCGATCCTATCCATGTGCTGAGAAAGGCTATGAGAAAAGATGATAATGTCCAAATAGACTAGACCAATATCCCATTGCAGGCCATGTAACACAGACTCCTTAAGTCTTTAAAACGTGTCTGGTGTATTGCACAGTCCAAATGGCATAACCTTGAACCGGTATAACCCTTTCGAGGTAGTAAAGGCGGTTTTTGCCCTGTCCTTAGGGTCGACCTGCACCTGACAGTAGCCTGATGCCATAGTCGATAAGCACTTACTTGCTAATGTATCCAATGTTTTGTCAATCCGGGAAAGTGGGTATGCGTCTTTCATTGTGATGTCGTTCAGCTTTCGAAAATCTATACAAAAACGCAAAGTCCCGTCGCGCTTTTTGACTAAAAGAACTGGGCTTGACCATGGCGTTTTATTATAGATAGGTGATAATGTCACACAATGATTGATACACTGTTTACAATACATCAAATCATCTTCTTTCTCTTTCCTTAATCGCGAAACAAACACCCCAGCCACGTCGACGTACCATGTCTCTGTGATCACCTTAATTAATCAAATTAATATTTATTGAGTTCACCTTAATTTATCAAATTAATATTTATTGAGTTCGATATTTCAATAAATATGTCCCAATCCACGATCCGTGAACGAAGTATATTTTGATGCGTTAATAGGTCGGGATGGTGGTGGTGGTGTTGGGGGGGAGGGGTGGATGGCTGAATGGTTAGCACGTGCGTGCTGTATCATAAAGTCTGTCATTGAGTCGACTGGCATGGTTTCGATCCCCCTATTGTACGTGACAAGGAGAAGGATCGCCTGTCCAACCTCGTGGGTTTTCTCCGGGTCCGCCAACTGCTAAAGACCCCTACGCGCAAGCGAATTATGGAAATAAAATTGAACCATATGTTAGTCCCGAAATGACCTAGTTTGTGTCGAGTTGACTTTAAACCCCATTTGTCTCTCTCTTCAATAGGTCAGGGGGGGGGGGGGTTAGCACGTGCGCGCTGTATCATAAGGTCTGTCATTGATTTAACTGACGTGATTTCGTTTCCCCGTTGTACGTTACAAGGAGTATGGTTTTCTTAGGGTCCTCCGGTTTCCTCCCGCTGCTAAAGATACCTACGCGCAAGCGCATTATTGAAATAAAATTGAACAATGCGTTAGTCCTGAAATTTACCTAGTTTGTCTCTTTAATAGGTCAAGACTTTTGATGAAGCTCCAGCTTGTTTACATTTGTTGATGTGGGAAGCATTTGGTGTGGCCCTCATTTCAATTTGAACTATAATCCGCTAAGAAACATTTGGCTATCCCAGACCCGATTATAAAATGGGATTTAACGTCCTACTGTTCTGCTCCGAACTGAGCTAATGAAGACGGGCATACGCCATACAATGTGCTATGAGGGAAATTTTGCCCGGACAGCGGCACTACGGCCTACTCTTATATCGAATTCTCTCCTCCGAACGACTAGACAGCTGTCCTTGTCAGGCTCCCCGTCCTGCATCACTGACAAAGGAGAACCACGCCGGAAAATCTGGATGAACTTTCTCGGCCATTGCAGGGATCGAACATCCGACCTCCAGGCTAGCGAGCCAGCGTCTTACCCGTCCAGCCACTGTGACCCCAGAAAATCTCGTTCTGCGCATGTCCGGTCTACTTAATGCTACATGTGTGCTTGACTAACATTGAATTTGTTTGCGTCAAGGGATTCTTACACAGATTGAAAGAGACTCAACACACGTCATCTTGGGACTAACATCTTGTTGACGTGTTTAGCCGTGTCGAGACACCGTAGACAAAACGGGAAGTAAGGCATGAATAAGCATATGACTGAAACCAGGTAAGTTGGATCGGTGTCAAATCTGATGATCTTAGCTAAACGCGTGACAATCTAGCCCGATTTCGTACAAAGAAGCAAGACTACATTGAAGACAAAGTGGTATATACAATATTTATTGGTTTGTTTTATTAATATCATATACCAATTGTTAGGCTTCTTTAAAACTAGGAATTGTATCTTTCTGGGTAAACAGTTGTTCTGGTGACATCCTTTCATCAAATAATTTCCAGCAGAGTTAAATCTCAAACAATAATTCCATGTTTCACATTTAGCAGCATTCAGACTACGGGTCTGAAAAGTAAATAAAAGTTTAAGCTCCTGTTCGTTTTTGTCTTTTAGTGTCTTTTAGGAATATTCCAAAGATGAAATGAAAACTTTACTAGATCTGTGCACGCTTCTTCAAACGTTTCGTCAACAACATAACAATGTGCCTCTATTTACCTGGCTTACCTATATAGACATATTTACCTGGCTTACCTATATAGACATGGGTGAGTGTAAAACCTGCCTGGCACACTTCCTGGTCATTGTTACTCACAAAACGTATTGTAGTTCCGTTACCTGTAGGTATGGTAATAGGTTCCGGTGCCACACCTCCACAATACCTGTATTAAAACCCAGTATTATAATCAGGGGATATATAGATATGTGATTAGTTTTAGTTTGTCTCGTTAAGTTCACCAAGTGATTTAGCAATATAGACTGGTTGGTATAATTCTTGGTTAAATAAGAATAGGCATACACCTTTTTATAAACTATATTATATTTATTGTCTAATGTTTGAATGATATATAGGGGGGTTGGATGGCTGAATGATTAGCCTGTGCGTGCTGTATCATAAAGTCTGTCATTGAGTCAACTGGCGTGGTTTCGATTCCCCGGTTTTACGTGACAAGGAGTAAGGTCGCCTGTCCAACCTCGTGGGTTTTCTCCGGGTCCTCCCACTGCTAAAGACTCCTACGCGCAAGCGAATTATGGAAATAAAATTTAACCATGTTAGTCCCGAAATGACCTAGTTTGTGTCGAGTGGACGTTAAACCCCATTTCTCCCTCTCTCAATCTATATATATATATAGGTTGAATAGAACTACGGCATATAACAAGAGATGGTGTATTGTGCATCGACTATGTTGGCGGATAAAGAATAGCGGATTTAATACGAAGTACAAAAGTAAATCTCCTACCTTTTTCCCTCTATCTCCACATAATCTTCCATACAATCTGTTCTTAGAATATCATTACAATTACCACCCGTAGTTTCAATACTAAAATCATCGCCAAACGTAAGGACAAGATCTTTCCCTGGAGAAGCGGGTAGAGTGAACGTTGTGTTCTGTATCCTATTGTATTTACCACCTGATGTTAATATTGCTGGAACTGTAATAAATTACCGATGACATCAATAGATTATGTAAATACATAACATTATGGATAAATACTGTTATTATACCACTACATGTATAATTATATATGACTAACAGAAAAATCACAGAAATATCTTGGTGGGGTGGGTATTGCTTCGGAGAGATGGATCCAGGTTCTGTCCAACTGAATTAATTTTATCGGCATTGACAATGAACATTTCAAGGGGGTCTTTCCTTTAGATTAGCAATGCTTAAGCTTGGAGACAGGGGATTTAGCTCTTTGTAAAAAAAATCTTTGTGAACTTTGAGCATTAACATGGTTCCTGATTATGTCTCGCCGAACAATCTCGGCATATTTACAGAGTACTTGGTTTGTGAAGCTTTTAAAGCTCATTACGATATCAAAATCATTAGAAATAAAAATTATTTTTACTCACATTCACAATTATTTCCCCCAAACCCTTCCATACAATTACAGGTTTGTTGTGTAGTGGGCGTTCCTCCATTTTTACAAGGATTAGAATCTGGTACAGCGTCTATATAAAATATGTGAATGGTTTCGTGTGCTTAAACAGTGGTACAAATGATAAATCATCTTCGAATTTTGTCCAGTGGTTTGAATTGTTCGTACTTGTTTTTTATTTCATTTGACTAATTTCATATCAAAGTAGCTAAGTCTCTAACTCAACATCATCCAAAGTTTTCAACATTGAAAACACGCATCATTTGTCAATTTAAATCAACATTAATGTTATGATCTTATCGGGAAAAGATCAGCTTCTGATATCCAATATGTAAGACAAAATAAACATTTTACCATCGGTACACGAATCGTGTACCATAATGCGTTTCGGCGCCACTTGTAACAAGGGACTCGAGGAACAAGGCTAGTTATTTTCCACAAGTCATGTTAAAAGGTGACGCATATTCTTATCTGGGGTGCATGCACAATAAATACTATCGGTATAGACTGGAATAACCAGAGGCTAGAGATTGCCATTCGATTGAGACATAACTAATTGATATGAGAATAAAAATGGAAACTACTGAATGTAAATCAGTTTATATACATTCTTATTACATTATTATATGCATTCTTATTACATTATTATATGCCTTGCGACCTATTGCATCAATTTCGAGGTCCCAAATATACTAAGTAGCAAAAGAAACGTCAGGTTGGTATGTTACTCTGAATAGACGCATTGCATAAAACTTGACAAATGTTTTATTGTATATTTGTGACCACATCTCCAACTTTACCTGAGCAACAAGGCTCCTTCCCAAACACAGAAATGAACCCAGGAAATGTTCTCAAAAACGTGGGAACACACGGAAGACCCATCAGTGCCGATACAGTGCGCTGACGTCTCACCAGAAAGAACATCCACTGCCGCAGACCTTACCGTGTACCAACCCTCACCCCTCGCCATCGACGTGAACGTCTACAGTTTGAACAACAACTCCAGAACTGGCGACACAGGCAATGGAGAATTGTTCTGTTTACAGATGAGAGTCAGTATTGCGTATCAACTGCAGATGGCAAGATCAGAATATGGCGTCGACGTCGTCTGACCAATGTGTCACGGAACGAGACTCATGGGGAGGTCCAAGCATAATGGTGTGGGGTGGAATCGGCCTGAACCAGAGAGTGGGTCCTGTGGTGTTCCAAAATCTTGGTCCAGGGAGAGGAGGCGGCATCACAACAGTGCGCTACATCGATCAAGCTCTCAGACCCCACGTCATACCACATTTCGCACGTCATCGAAACAACGTTTTCCAGCATGACAACGCCCGTTTCCACACCGCCAGAGTTACTCGGAACAATCTACAGCAGAACGGTGTCAACGTTATGCACTGGCCAGCGCTTAGTCCGGACTTAAACCAGATTGAACAGCTTTGGGATGAAATTTAGATGAGACTTAATAACGTCGTACCGAGACTACACACAACCGATGGATTGCGCCAGGCTTTTCTGAGAGTGTTGTTCCAGGTACCAATGGAGTTCATCAATCGTCTGGTCCACTCCATGTACAGACGCTGCGCTGATGTTATTGACACTTGCGGTGGACACACCAGATACTGATGTATAGCTTGAGTACAGACTCTAACCCTTCTCGTAATGTCTTGGAATTGTGATCAATTAATCACTAATATGTCAACATACTGTTCACAAAAAATTGCTTTGATTCATTTAGTAAGTCGTTTTTCTACAACTGTTGATGATGTAATTCGTTATATTTTGTACTCACCTATATATTGATAGGTCAATGTGAAACCTATAAATCCAATTGTACGATCAGTTACAAAGCGTACTTGGGTGCCATTACCAGTTGAAAGCATGATGTCTGCTGGAGCAGAGAAGCCACAATATCTGTACAAATAAAGAATCATTAAAAGTTTATGTGTCTTAAAGCGTCTATAAGGCAGTATTAGATGCAGCCACAAGACCTTTAATTTATATTCATACCCCAAACCGCTTCTTGAGGAAACCGGCCGTAGTGTAAAAAATCCACCATGTCAATATATTGATATTTTGAATTCTTTAAAAATCAACCTACCCTAATGTGCGGAAACGTAAAACCCCATTTCTTTGTTATGTACATGTAAGTTAATGTTATTAAAGACCAGTTTTTTGTCCGGGGGGGGGGGGGGGGTTAGTCCCATCTATACAACGAGTAGTTAATGCTGTATATGTTGGGGAGGGGTATATACGTACCGTGTACCTCCAATCACTAGGTAATCGAGGGAACAAGTAGAAAGAAGAAAGTCATCAATAAATGAAATGGTGAGGTTTTTACCAGTAACTCCAGGTATATTGGTTATAACATTCTGATTACTGTCATACTGCTTTATAGGTGTAACGACTGAAACGTCTGGAACAAATAATACTACATTTATGTTATACCAGAGCTGTGATCGATGCACTCCTACAGAAAAAGGTGGGCGGAGCTGTTTTGTGTCGCTTTGGTATTGGTCTTACTTTTTCAATCCATTCATTCATCTTGCCGCGAAAATCTCGACCAATATATTAACACTGTTATATTACTTAAATAGTTCATCACAACCTGGTTGGGTGTGTGCAGGTATTGTAGGATACTGTACGAGGTCGGATGTTAAGTCATTTATTTGTCCTAATTTTACTTCAAAGCAATCAACTATACCCGCCTCTCCCACTCCCACTTGTCACGTGGTTAACTTAACTTATACTAAACCGTGTTTCGTTCAACAACCTCATAATAGAAATAGACAAATGACATGGTCAGGTGTAATCTAGGTTTCACTCACCTTTGTACAGGCTATAATCAATATCATTTTGGAAATAAACCTCAGTTCTTAAAACACAACTACAGGTGTATCCACTAGGTGCAAGAAGTGGTACACAACGTGTAAAACTTACAGAGGGTAATTTACATAGATTTACTGGAAGTAAAAAGTTACGAGATAAACATGATTTTATTTCATATAGACTTAATGTAAGTTCATATAGACTTAATGTAAGTACCAAGATACGAGATAAACGTGATTTCATTTTACAAAGATTTTATGGAAGTACGAGGTAAACAATTCTATCTAATTATACTCTTCAAAAAAAGTAGGGGATATTCAGAAACAATACAAAACTGCTGCACTGCTGTTTTTATTAGAGGTAACCAGTGTATGTTAATAACAGGCCAACTGCCTACACGTGAACATAAACAGTTCATATGGGCGGCTTATCTGACAGCCCCATTTCACTCGCGAAGAGATACACCGTCAAAAGTGAAAATGGACGTTTTTATTTTTGTCTTAATAATGAGTAATTGCTCCACCAATCCTCAGACATTCAGCAATTCGTCGTGGCATGCTCCTAATCAACTGTCCAATCAAAATTTGGGGCAATCTGACCCACTCCTTCTTCAGTGCCACGGCCAATTCTTGTAGTGTTGTCGGTTGACGTTGACGTCGACGAACACGTCTTCCGATCAAATTAAACGTAACATTCTAAAGCAAAGATACGCTAAACAGTAAATCTAATGCAGGAACCGATAGGAAAGCAGACGCGGATAAGATAAACCAGCAAGCGGCAGTTTTCATCAATCCTTCCTTGAAGTGTCAAATTTGACAATGAACCTCTCCCACGTGTATGGCGCTATTGCGTTAAGTTCTTCATCTGTGAACATACTCTCAAGTTTCCATGATTATGTATCATATCACAACCTGCATAGTATTTGCATTTCAATATCCCCTACTTTTTTTAAGAGTATATTACATTGACCATATACAACTGTAACTAATTTTTACGATGGCTAATTTCAAATAACAACCACTTACTACTACAATCATCCCTATCGTAACCAGGCCTACATTTACAAATACCTGCTACACATATCTGGACGTCATTTAAACAGGTGACATTGTCACACAGATCGACTGAAATAAACAACAACAAAAACCTTGACAAATCACACATCAGTTCTAACATCTTGTAATTCTAGTTTATCTCATATTCATGGGCCACATCCTGTGGTATGTGAGGACGCTCCCCACAGAACACCAACCCGTCAACGCCCATGAAGAAGAAAGACAGCCGCCCCTCTCCCTCCCTTTCCGCCAATTCGAACCTGTACGCTTTAGTTGACAAACTCAACACATCAAACGACACTGTGTCGGATAACTCCAATTCGGAAGACACTGTGTCTCCCGTAATTTCTAATCAAAATTTCTCAACTCCTAGCAGATCTCCCGTGAATAAACGAATAAGCTTCTCCTCACCCACACGCGTCAAACCGTACCGCGCATCCAACCGCCTTAGCTTAGACATAGAGTCCCTCCCCCACAAAACAAGCCAGTGCTTGGCCTTAGGTACCACAATGGCAATGACAAAGCCTCCTGGTCCCTCCCTGGTATCGTCAAACAGATTTTAATGCTAGGTAGCTCGAACCTCAGCCGTATACCCAAAGGGGGAGTTGGTGTGCAAATCGAATCGTATGGGGGCGCCAAGATCCAACATCTCATTGATATGATTAAAGCTTACACCCACACTGGACAACCAAAAACCATCATTTTTCAAATCGGTACTAACAATAGGAACTGGTTGCCACTACCAAGTCCAAATTTCCCAACACCGCCATCTTTATATCCCAAATTCCGTTTCCCCCCCACCCTCAAACAGAAAGAAGGAACCAAACCATGTGAAAACCTGACAACTCTAAACCACTACCTCATCACGGAACCACCGAAACAAGAAAGAGTAATCGAACTTAATCACTCAGTGGTCCATGTCAACGCAAGTGACAAAATACATTGGACAGCCATTACTGCTGACAGACAATTCAACCACTGGCTTAGAGTTGTCGAGTCTTTAAATTAGAGTCTGAGGGGGGCCTCGTTGAAAACGCTACGCAACAAACCCCCACTCAAACTCCAGCTTCCCTTAGAAGGGCAAATACTTGACAAGGGCCTCAAATTCATACCTTCCCCTCAACCGACTACTGTTGATGACATCTTAGAATCTACTGACCAATTTTCTAGACGTATCAAATTGACCTATTTTTCTCCGCGATAAACCCCGCAAGACGGGCAATACCAAATTTATTGAAAAATCTGTACACCCCCTAACGCGGCCATTAGAGGGGATATTCTAGTCCATTTAGACACTATGAAGAGCGAGATAGCTGAGCTTCCAATCTCAAAAGAAAGGAACAACCTAACCCGAGTTGAAAGAACGGCACTCAACGCGCTCAAAAATGACAAGTCCATCGTCATTAAAAAGAGTGACAAGGTCTCATGTTGCGTCATACTAAATCGAAATGACTATATACTAGAAGCTGAACAGCAACTTAGTAACGAGATGTACTACAAGAGACTTCCCGAACCTATTTTTATGGAAAACGGTTTAATGATCAACCGCATTTTAGACACACTGGTCACTAATAAGTTCATTAATCCCAAACAATATGACTACCTTTCCGCGAAGCCTAACTGCCGCCAGAGACATTTTTACACTCTCCCGAAAATCCACAAAAATCCCAAAACGGAGTGGTTTGTACCGAAAGGTCGGCCCATAGTGTCTGACTGTTCGAGCGAGTGTCATAATGTCTCTGAATATATTGACTCTTTTCTAAAACCACTGACATCCCTGCATCCGGCCTATCTATTTGAGTTATATATTTCAAAATCACAATTACAAAACCAACCCACACGGCAATATAGTAATGACATCTGGCATTCCCGCGGCGGATATGCTCACTTGTTTCGTAACATATGTAATTTCTTTTCCATGAGATCGGCAGTTAGTTTGGAATGTTTCCTGGTAAAGTCCACGTATTATTAGACTAGTGTGTCGCTCAATTGCATCACCATTTAGGATGCATAGTTGTATATTTAATTAGTATTATTTTTAAAAACATACCTGGTGCTAGCTTAGTTCCACAATCTTCTCCACTAAACATTTGAGGGCAATCACATATACCATTGTTACATGTTGCATTGTTCAAACATCTGTTGTTACAAGAATCAACTAGAAATATACAATAGTAAACGTCTTGTACAATTGTTTGTGTGTAGTGTGGTCGCCCTGCACTTTATCAAGTGAACTTAATGGGGGAGACGACTTACAGTTAGCACCGAAAATAACATCAGCCTACTATCAATGTTTGTTGATTAAAAACTAGATCATCTAAAGGGAATATGCTGAAAATTTCAGTCAAATTGCTCCACTCTACACCGATATATTAGGGATTGAATTTTAGGCCTAGCCTCGATCATTATTACTAAAGTCGGTGTGATAAAAAAACCCAGTGTCGATTATTCGTTTTTGAATTTAACCATCAATGAGCGTTGAGCAGCAGGTATGATTCAAATATAGTAAAATCGGAAACTGGTAATGAAAAGCCTGCCAAGTGAGGCTACCATAGCCATTGAGCATGTTACTTGATAATTGTGAATATGTGGGTGGAGTTATCGTTTGTCAATCAAACGATCGCCAATTCTCATAGACGATGAAGACACAATTGATGGCTAGTTCTAGTCCGAACTTCTAACAGTGACAATTCCGTTGAGATCTAAGTAATTTGACTGAAAGTTTCAACATTTTCTTTTCTCATCATCTATTTTTGAATTATTATAGCAAGAATGGCCAACACTTTATAAAACTCTTAACTAATGTATCTTTAAATATACTAATATGACTTGACTCGTAATAAATATACTAATATTAGGTCTTTAAGACCCGTTTCGTATCTGTTGTTAATGAAGAATCTTACCACCACAATCTGGTCCAGAATATTCAGAGGTGCATTCACATATGCCTCTTACACATATACCTCCATTTAGACATTTAACAGATTCACAGGGGTCTGTAACATAAAATATATTCACAAATAATAATCACAGAGGTCTGAATAAAGATATAAAGTGCTGGCCGTTCTGCTATAATAGTTTAAAAAACGATAATGAAAAATAATATATTTAAAATGAAATGAATCGGGATTTAATGACTTCCTTGTCGAGAGCAATCTGACTAGGAAAACGGGCATACGCCATGCAGTGGGATTTCAGGAATATTTTGCCATGACAGCTGTGCTGCTACACCCTAATCTTATTAAGATGTCCGACGGGAGGTGGGTTTTGCATTCCACCCCATCACCCATTCAAGTCAACAAGGACTTTAGACACACCTTACACGTAACATCAAGGAACTGATAAATGTATCTTCCCTATCATCACAAACACTGTTTCTGCGTTTACTCAACTTAAATGGGTAAAACAGTTACTCCGCCATGGAGTGAATTTGACACGTCCGCACTGTTAACTTGATTACCTGGACAAGGACATCGATTACAGTACCGCTTTTCTTGGTTTCTGCCAATGCAGCGACGTCCATGATTCTCCGAGGCAGGGTTATTGCAAAATCGATATCGTTTTTGTGTGCCAACACCGCAAGTTGAAGAACATTCATCATAGTTAGACCACGATGCCCAATTACCATCAACTGTAAGAAAATAAAATGCTTTCAATCTGTTTGTAGCAGAATTTAAGATCGGGGCGAATATAGGTGCACATGGTTAACCACGCCGAAAATCCAAGAGAGAGAGAGAGAAATGGGGCTTAACGTCCACTGAATACAAACTAGGTCATTTCGGGACTAACATATGGTTCGATGTTATTTCAATAATTCGCTTTCAGAGGGGGAAAACCGGAGCACCCGGAGAAAACCCAAGAGGGGAAATTCAAAAGAAACTTTCTCAATGGCAAATCCTAGAACCTTTGGTTAACGGGTCAGCGCCTTACTCACTGAGCCACCACGGCGCCATTAGTAATGTGGGATAGACCCATATAGATAATTGTCTGGCTGATTCAACAGCACAACGTTCTACTGCACCGACTAGGCTAATTCAGATGGATATACACCATACAGTGTGCTATGACGGAAATCCCGCCTGGACAGCATCTTTACGACCTACTCTTATGTATCCACGGGACCTAGGTGTTTCGTCCCATGTGTACAACTATACGATGTCCCTTGCCAGGCCCTCGGTCCTGCACTACTGACAAGGGGGAAGAACAGCGAAAAAAGGGAGGGATCGAACACGGACCTCCTGGTTAGCGAGACAACGTCTTACTCACCAATCTGTTTCACAGAGATATTGCGAAAAATCGGCTTATAACATGTGACGTTACTGGTTCTGGCAGAATGGCGCCCTTTACTCGTTTTACATACCCATTTAAACTAAATAGGAAATAATTTTTACCTACATATACTAAATATACTACATATACTACAAAGGTCTTTATTTATCTTTCTAATACTTATTATCTGGAGTTCGTTAAGCCGCATCGATATCACCCTCACCAGTGATTGTAGCGGACTAGCGAATATTCACTGCTGAGCAGCGTGCTTATCCACTAGCCATACTACGACAAAAAGAAATTGTACTGCAAACCAGGGTCATACTGTGGGTAAAGAAATTGTACTGCAAACCAGGGTCATACTGTGGGTAAAACCAAGGTCGTAATGTGGATAACGAAATTGTACTATAAACCCGGGTCATACTGTGGATAACGAAATTGTACTGCAAACCAGTCTCATACTGTGGATAATGAAATTGTACTGCAAACCAGGGTCATTATGTGGGTAAAGAAATTGTACTGCAAACCAGGGTCATACTGTGGGTAAAACAATATGGGAATCCTAGAACCTAATTGTCGTTTTTGCGAGCCCTCACACCAACCTTACTCGAGCGGCCAACATTATCCTAACCAACTATTACATTAAAGGGGAACAGCGCATTTGTTTCTTTTACAGGGCCCTGCTAGGAACACCGCCTAGTCTTTCGAGTGGGAGAGAAAACCGAAGTCTCGTGTACTCTTGGTTGTTTGAATTCAATTGCTGCTACGACAACAGTCCCCATCATTGCAATCTGCATGCAAGGCGTATGCACGTCTGTATTCCCACAGTTGGAGCACAACAATGGGGCTTTAAAACCCAGTTCATTCATGTAATCGCCCATTCTGTTATATACTCTTCAAAAAAAGGAGGGGATATTCAGAAACAATACAAAACTGTGGAAATGCACTGCTGTTTTTATTAGAGGTGACCAGTGTATGTTAATAACAGGTCCATTGTCTACACATGAACATAAACACTCGCAAAGAGATACATCGTCATAAGTGAAAATGGACGTTTTTGATTTTTGTCTTAATAATGAGTAATTGCTCCACCAATCCTCAGATATTCAGCAATTCGTCGTGGCATACTCCTAAGCAACCGTCCAATCACGATTTGGGGCAATCTGACCCACTCCCCTTGCAGTGCCACGGCCAATTCTTGCAGTGTTTCGGTTGACGTCGACGAACACGTCTCCCGATCAAATTAAACGTAACACACTAAAGCAAAGATAAGTTAAACAGTAAATCTTATGCAGGAACCGATAGGAATGCTAACATGGATAGATAAACCAGCACGCGGCAGTTTTCATCAACCCTTCCTTGACATTGAACCCCTCCCACGTGTATGGCGCTATTGCGTGTCGCACTTGCAGCTCAGTGGTTCTGTTGGCGATAAGTTCAACATCTGTGAACATACCCTCAAAGCATGTCAAAGCGGGGATCTTTTAAAAGAGGGGGAAGGATGGCCGAGTGGTTAGCGCGTGCACGCTGTATCATAAGGTATGTCATTGAGTTAACTGGCGCGGTTTCGATTCCACGGCTGTACGCGACAAGGATTAGGGTCACTGTCCATCCTCGTGGGTTTTCTCCGGGTCCTCCAGTTTCCTCCCACTGCTAAAGACTCCTACGCGCAAGCGAATTATTGTGAAATAAAATTGAACCATGTTAGTCCCGAAATCACCTAGTTTGTGTAGACTGGACGTTAAACCCCATCTCCCTCTCTGATCTTTTAAAAAAGATCAACCAACGAAGCTTCTGTTATATTAAAGGATCAATTCACCCAAGCCTCTATTATATTGCGTTTCTATATTGTAACAGTGGGTAGATAATTAAGCATCCGTTCTACTCTTTCAATCTGACAATTACTGGTTCTGCTTCCGCCAGTGACGTCACGAAAATAGTCTTCAAATTATTAAGGCTTTTCAGCGTAGCCTCATATTAGAATATAGTAATAGATGAAAATAGAAATAATATTTTTAAAAATAATATTCTCACCTGGCTGAAAATATCGTCGGGATGGTGAATGGTTTCTTCTCGATCCTCTCCTTCCTCGTCCCCATCCGCGTCCTCCCAATCCTCGTCGACTTCCGCCGCCTCCTCCCCACCCTCTTCGTTTACGTCCTCCTCCTGTTCCTTGACCCCGTCTCCGACGATTGGCATCAGCCACCACAATACAAATAATCACTAACAATAGGCCTATAACGAACAACGTCAAACGCATGTTGAAAGATTTAACAGTTTCTCTCATAAACTGAAAGTTATGTGAAGAACAGCGACGTCGTTACTTCTTTTAAACATTTTTACATATCAACAGATGTTCTTATTTACTGGTCGTCTGCTTCCGCCATTAAAATAAAAGGCAATAAAACAGGGAAATATATCTGATGATGACGTATCGTTTTTTTATATATTGAATATCGTTTTTTTATTTGAGAATGTGGAAACAGAAATTATTACCGATACATTATAAACAAAAATTACTTCTACGTACCCCTGGTAAGATGCACGTCTTGCTTAATACATTTAGGTCCACATCTTTCCTTAGTAGCAGCCAAGTTAAATTCAAGATTGTAGGAGATATCTATAAAATCATTTACATGTAATGGTATAATATAATACATGCTGGCAATGGACAGCGTATAATCGTTCGGGTGGGACAAAAAAAACGAGGACCCGTGTACAAATTGGCGTGCACCATAATGATCCCTTGGCAGTTGTAATTCGATATAAGAGTAGGTCGTAGTACCACAGTCCGATCAAAGTTTATTGGGATTTTCCGGCGTGTTTTCCTCCTGTCAGTGTTGCAGATTAGAGGGGCCTGCAAGGGACCATGTATAGTCGTTCAGATGGGACGAAACACCGAGATCCCAATTACACATTAGGGTGCAAGTAAAAAATCACTGTATGGCGTATGCCCGTCTTTATTAGCCCAGTCGGAGCAGAACAGTAGGCCATTAAACCCCATTTCATTTTGAATTGTTCGGGTAAAATATACCTTCATAGTACGTACATGTACAGTAGGTATACCGGTAACCCTCTACGCCAGCTCTACAAATCCACCACAGAGCTGAAAATGGCATTTAATTTGCAAAAATACACAGGCGTCGGACCAGAGTATCATTTTCATCACATAAATAGGCGGAGGTTTTTTTTATCCATAGTCAGGTTACGCTGTATGTCAACAGTTATCTCCGCTTGACGATTTTAGTCGAAAACAGTAAATTTCGACGATTTGAGAAGTATAGAAATGAAATGAAATGTAATGGGGTTTAACGTCCTACTGTTCTGCTCCGAACTGGGCTAATGAAGAAGGGCATACGCCATACAGTGTGCTATGAGGGAAATTTTTCCCGGACAGCGGCACTACGGCCTACTCTAATATCGAATTCCAACTGTCCAGGGATCTTTTACGTGCACGCCAATGTGTACACGGGACCTCGGTTTTTCGTCCCATCCGAACGACTAGACAGCTGTACTTGTCAGGCCCTCCGTTGAGAAATATATGTTCTGTTTTCATTTAATAAAACTGAATATATTTAATTGGTAATTTGTGAATAACAGACGTGAACCGGAGTAGGATCACACATCACAAAACTGTATGATGAGTTTTGGATATGGCGGCCAATTAGGGGAGAGATCTATTCTCGAAGTAGAGTAGATAGTCCTCTGTGCCAAGAATTGGTTAAAACCTGCTTCGGGACACGGGCACGGGATGTTACATTCAGGCGGAAATTAAATTACTTTTGACATCTAGTGATTTTATCATAAATTTTAAATATATATATATATATCATTTCATTTTTGTATTTAATATTTATATGCATAAAAGCTGTATTTTATTTTTAATTTTATTAACTGTGATATTGTTTTTATTTATGCATATAATGTTTTTCTGTGATATAATTTAGCCTGTCTCGTATTATTCACCATATGTTTGGCGCAATATAGCCCGGTTGGAGTTGACGTGCCATTAAACATTTCATTTCATTTACATCTAGTTGCGGTAATAAAACGAATGTATTAAAGTTATGGATCAGTTTCATTTATTGATTTATTCGCATGGCTGCCATCTTGTATATGATAATCAAATTTTGTAAGTATGGTTGATTAAGTTACCAGGAAACAGAATAAAATTTATTAAGTTAAGTATATGTTTAAATTCATAGATTTATTGCATAGATGACATTTTATATATGAAAATAAAATTTTATAAATATGGTTGATTAAGTTACCAGGAAACAGAATGTAACAATAAAATTTCACGGCAAAAAAAAATATGTAGAGCTAGTCCAGCCCAGTTCACAATTATGATACAAATGTCAGTGATGCAGGACGGAGGGCCTGACAAGGGCAGCTGTCTAGTCGTTGGGGTGGGTCGAAAAACCAAGGTCCCGTGTACAAATTGACGTGCACGTAAAAGATCCCTTGCAGTTGGAATTCGATATAAGAGTAGAGCCGCTGTCCGGGCAAAATTCTCCCCATAGCACACTGTATGGCGTATGCCCGTCTTCATTAGCCCAGGTAAGGAGCAGAACAGTAGGACGTTAAACCCTATTTCATTTCATTTCATTTCATTTCATTTGTTATTGGTGCGTAAAAAAGATGTGGAAGTAACCTTCTAAGTTACGAAAACTTATAATATTTCGAACATGTAAATAAAACAAATATAATTCAAAAAGTCACATTTTTTTTATATTCTGATGAAATTTCATCTGTTTATTAAAAAAAAAGATTTATAACAAACATCAAAAGAAAATGGCTTTCTACGAGATTTCATTGATTGGTATTTAGTTCATTGAGAAATGTCTTTTCTTCATTACAAGATAATGCTTCTTCTCCAGTACCCCCCCCCCCACCCTTGTCAGTAGTGCAGCACGTAGGGCCAAAGATGGCCAGCTGTCTAGTTGTTTGGAATTCGATATAAGAGTAGGCCGCAGCGCACTGTATGGCGTATGCCCGGACCAAGCGTTCCTCATAGCACACTGTATGGCGTATGCCCTTCTTCATTAGGCCAGTCGGAGCGGAACAGTAGGACGTATTAAACCCTATTTCATTTCTCTTATCCTTTCTGAGTTTTTGTGGTGCTGTAGATGATTACATGATATAAAAGCTTTTTTTCAACCGTAGCTTGATTATGGGCTTAGCATGTGAATTAATGTCTAATTAATGATTTATATAACATTTAGGGCAAAACTAAATATCTGTAATAACCAGATTTAGGTTTTTAAATTCAAATTTTAAAGTAGAAAATGAAATGGGGTTTAACATCCTACTGTTCTGCTCCAAATGGGCTAATTGAATGAAAACGGGCATACGCGATCAGTGTGCCATGAGCTACTTGCTACTCTCACATCGAATTCCAAATGCCAATGGTTCTTTTACATGCACTCCAATGTGTACACAGGACCTCGGGGTTTCATCCCATCCAAACGACTAGACAGCTGTATCTTTCAGGTCCTCCGTCCTGCACCACTTATAAGAGGAAACTACGCAGAAAAATCTCGATGGACATGTCTTACCCACTGTGGCCCTTTATAAAGTAGAGAGCTTACCTTAAAATATAGTTTGAGTTAACAGAAATAAAAGACGACCTGGATTCAACATTTTATTATAGCATATACAATATTATCAAAAATACTAAATACATGAGAAATCGGGGACATCTCACTTTCCCCACATCTATTGTTTAGAGTCTAGGTCCACCCGGCCATGACTAATTAACCAACAAAGGGGGTTTAAGGGGATTTAAAGTATAGTCTGTAACAAGTTTGTGACACTTCAACATAGCAAATAAATAAATAAATACATTTTTATAGTATAAATAATTATAAACAGTTTGATATATAATAAGTACAAATATATAATAAATAATTATATATGCATATATTAACTAAATAAAAACAATTTTATAGTATAAATATTTATAAACAGTTTGATAAACATGACTTAACGCTGAATTTAAAACCATCTAGCACTAAATTCTGACCACCTTTAGTATTAGCATTGTATTTAAAGTTAACCAAAGCGTTCGCCATTTTGGAATGACCATTTGCGATTCAGAGGAGCTATATATATCAACTGATAAGCTGTGATTAAATACCAGTATTTTATTTGTTTTTATTTCAAATTAATTATTACATCAAAACAGCTCACAATGTAAATTTATTAGTAAACTGATTTCACTAATTTGCCCAATCCACTAATGGTGGGAAGTGTTCACCGGTAACAATAATTAGAGTGAGAAGTTTACACCAGTGATACTAATTAATTAAAACAGACTATAGTCCTACACCCACGGTCTACTAACCTCCTAATCCTTTATAAAAACAATCAAATGTGGGGAAAGTGAGGTTAAACCGAGAAATCCTTCTCTGGTGAGCAACCAAAGCCTGTCTGATTTCTATCAAAAACCTAAGATAATTAACTATAATAATATATTCATTAATGATATTGAATAAAAGAACTGATATAAATACTACATAATAAAATCAGCTGTCATTGATAGATTATCTCATTATAATCATTAGTATAATTATATATACATTAATGATAGTGAATAAAAGAAGTACATAACAAAATAAGCTGTCATTTATTTAAGCATATGACAGGCTAACGATCAGTTGATGTGTGACAACTGAACACTAGTCAAAGAGGAAGACCAACGATTTTCAATAAGGTTTCCATAAATAATAAATATACATTTAGAAATAATCCCTCCTATAACATATGCAAAAGATAATTTGTAAGCGAGAAATTAATTTTTATTGATACCGGAAGTGACGTAGTTGGTTCGACACGCTCACTGGTCACTATAGTAAACATACAAATTTGGAGTAAGTTTAGCGCTGTATTTTGTGATCGTTTCGCCGTTTGGCAGAAAATCTGATGAAAGGTAATCTTTATTAGGATATTAAGAACAAGAACTTACGGTGTTTTGAAGGTATAATATACAACGCGTTTGTGTGAATTAAGTTTCTAAACCGGACACTGTGACACAATTTAAGCCACATGGCTAATTGTTTACATCACGTGATAGCTGGCACTTGACAGATATAAACCGAACACAAATTGGCGACCTATTCGGCTAGCGACCTATTCGACCGATCCAGCTGTAAACAGAGGTAAACAAATAGCGGACTTCATTAATATTAATAATTTGTGTTTTTTAAATAATGACTCGCCTACTTATGTACATCCTGCCACGGCTTCTTTTTCTTCCCTCGATCTCACCATTTGTTTCAGGATTTTACATGGAGAGTAAATGAAGAT